GCATCTCTGAAGAAAAATACTTGCCCCACATACAGGTGATTATTCTCCATGACATCTCCAGCAGCTGTATTTATTTGCAAACATTATTATAACAAGTTCAGACCTCGAAATCAGCTAAATGATTTATTAGCAACAAATTCCAAAAAAATTTCCGAACTACACGTACCTAGCATTCCACCATCCTCAACAAAGTTGACCTCTTTTTCCATATAACCTCCATCAGGGTAAGCAAGACCCAATCCGGAACCAATCTCCAGGTTTGTGACCCCAATAACTTGTTCAGAAACCTTCTCTTTTCCTTTGTTGGAGGATTCTTCTATTCCCCTCCCACATTAACATTAACACCTAACATATCATATTAACAATTAATTATTATTTTACGTTATATATGATACCCAATATTTTGCTATCATAATACCTAAGGTTAATGCCATCGGCACTATGTCAGTTAGGTTGTTTGGGAGTTTCACCAGCCTTATCACACCATCAGCAGTTTTCGTGAAGACATTCATCCCACCAGATGAATCAGTTTACAAAAGTATCCCCTCAATATTAGTGAGTGGCTGGTTCACGTCTTCCCTTGTTAGTCTCACGGCGCTCATCCGTATTTCCTCCACCTGCTCCCTGCTGCATATCGTCATCAGCTGCTCTTCGCTAACTTGTAGATACCCACCTTCATGGAAACATGTAGCGTATAATACAATTTGTTTATTGGTAACATAAAGTTTTAGCAGATACCAAATGATTTATGGACTAGTCTTACCTCTCCACGGGATTGGCTTAGGTGGAACAACTTCCATCCCGCCTTATGTTAAGCCGTACTCCTCTCGGCGCATCATCCTGTAGCGCCCAACGTCCTCGTTACCGAGTGCAACACACATGGTCAGGTTTACGAAGTCCATCCTCACTGCCATGAAAAGGTTCACATCACCGTCTTATAAGATGTCCACGGGCGGTGTTGTATAGTCTCCCGGGATTTTCATCCAGTCTGGGAAGTCGTAGGTCAGGGCCAAAGGTTCAGAAGGAAGTAACCGATATTTACCCCTCACCATCTCCCCCAACTCCTCATAAGTCTCATTCTCTTTCAACACTCCATCATATTTCACTTGTGTGTGGTCAATATTGAACCTCCACATTCCTTGGCCGAGTCTTTGCCAGTCACCAACAACAAGCCTCACCAGATGCCTCATTGCTTGAACTTAAACAAGTTTGAAACTTCTCCCTCCTCATTGCTTGAACTTAAACAAGTTTGAAACTTCTCCCTGAACAAAACATTATTTCAACATATCAGATAATAAAACTTTTAGCATATACATGACAATATCTATACATATTTATCTAACAAATTATCAAAAAACTATTTTTACTGATGATCGATTATTCTCATAATCGTATACCTTTATTCTAAGAGAGAACAAACACTGTCAAATAAGTTGCTAACCTTCAACTCTCAATCACAGTTTTCGTTTTCACTTATTCTCTCTCTTAATTATCTCTTCCTTTGTTAAGTATATTTATTTGAAACTATGAACCCTAGTACTATTCCCATAACCCAATACGCAATCTGAGGTACACTTACCGAAGCAATTGCCATCATCCTTTTTACCCAGCGGATCTTCGCCTCCGGCGTTTCATGTTGTCAGACATGCGTTGCAGAGCACGCCTCCCCCCAAATCCCCCTTTCTCTGTGAGTTGACATTATCCCTAAATCTACCGCCGATTTTGGGAAGAGTAGATGAGGGTAAATTTGTCTTTCTAAACTTAAAAGGGTACTGCTTATGTGAGTTTCGATCTTTAAGTTCATTCACCAATTTGGACCCGTTTTGGGTATATTTCACCCACTCTCCCTTATTTTTAAGGATCCATGTAGTTCGTGTATTTGTTTTTAAAAGAAATGTATTAATGTAAGATCCTGTAAGAATTTTCCAGTATATTTTTTTTGGTTTAGGAAGTTTCACAATTTTGTTACCGTATTAATATATGTTCCTATCCTATAAGATCCACATGGTTAATCTTAGACAGGTGGGTGATGCGGAGATGAAAGTTCATTGTTTAACGCTCTATTTCAAATTCAGTGGATGAGTTATGATATAAAGTAGTTTGGAACTAGGCTTGGGTGCAACTAGAGGAAGCTCATGCTTTCGGCCCTTATTTCTGTAAATATAATTTCGGCCCAAAGTTAACGAATATCTCACTGTAGATTAGTGGTAACTAATATTTATCCGTTTCATTTTTATTTGTAGTTGTAGAGAATTATGCACACAAATTAAAAATAATAATTTTACATATTTTCTAAATAAAAATACTATTACCTATTTTGAAACGAATTTGTTTCTCTACAATAATACTTAAACTAAAACGAAGAATATATAATATAATTTGAGAAGTCAGTTTTCTGCAGGTCGCACTCAAGTTAATTTTTACGAAGATTAATTATAAAGATACCCTCAATGAATTAAAGTATTCTATCTAATTGTCATTGTTAATTCTAATTTTAATTTCCTTTATATATTTTTCAAATAAGATTTAGTATACTAAAATGATAATCATATAATAAAAACTCAAATTATATTTACAAAAAGGAAATAAACATAATTTATGAAAATACATTTGATATAATCTGATTTCATAAAAAAAGAAAGTTCACAATAAAACAATTTTGATGTTAAACATAATCATCTCTTTAAACATAATATTAAACAACATAATATATATTTTGAAATTAATTAAAATATTTTATTTATAACAATATATTTCTGATATTATTACAAATATTAATTAAATAGCATAATAAAGTATAATTGATGAGCTAAACATATTTTATAATTGATACTATTAAGATTTTATTTTTAATTTATCTTTTTTATTTTTAGTTTGTAACATTCATTAATTAAACTACATAAATATAAAATAAATAAAAAAGAAAACCTAATATACCAAAAAAAATTACTTGAAAAATTAATATTTTTATTATTATGTTGATTTTTATATATTTATAAAACATAACATATAATAAGAACGCATAAATCAGTATGAAGTTTTATGGTTCAGATATTTATAATACCTTATAATTTATATTGTATACATCTAAAGTATAAATTCACTTATAATTTTTACAAAACAAATTACTGTGTAACTATTGATATCTGTCAATGAATTTTCATAATTTTATTGGTAATGGTCGTTTATAAAAATTTGTACTTATAATCCTTTCAGATTTTATACTAATTTTACAAACCCAAAAATATCAAATTATACAAAAGCACATATACAGATTTAAGATGAAGAATTGAACTCATGCAATAAATAAAATCAATCAAAATTATTTTAACTAAAATCAAAAGTAATTGTGTTTTGATTTGAAGAAATAGGTATAACTCAATATAATCCACAAATGAGTAATTTAAACAATCTAAATTTTATACTCGTAATCAAAAGTTTAAATGCAAAAAAAAAAACAAAATTGTCAAAATTTTAATCACACAAAATACTATAGTAAATTTTGGAAAATTAAATACAGTTTAATATACCCAAATAATAACCAAATCGACTATATATTATGTATTCAAACTACATGGTTAATTAAAATAATATAACAGTATTTAAAATAAACCATACATATAATTAAAAATGATTAAAATTAAAATATTAAAAATTTATAATATATTTTTATATAAATATTGATATCCTTGCATTAGCACGGGAAAAGATTTAGAATCATTAACATGATGCTATCGTCACTTGAAAGACTTAGGATCATTAACATGTTATGAATATGTCTTCGAGACTAACCGTGTAGGCAAAATGAATAGCCTAACTAAGCAATGTTTGAGTTGCTTTTGCCTATTTAATGTGGCATGTTTTTAGGATGGTCTGGTTTGACGCAAGATAAACAACCATTGGGTATGAGTAGTGTTCAGGTCATATAGGTCTAGTATTGTATATGATTGATAGAGCTATATTGAAACAACTATGAAATCCTTTATGATTATACAACACAATCATGTGCCCGTCTTTGCTTCTGTGCTTGCTTGATTAGATTAAAGAATGACTTGGTTCGGACCTCACTTAAATACTACAACTAAACATGATAAGTACTTAAAATATGACTGATTGGACTCGGATCGCCTATCAGCTCGAGTCGTGTGAGATTAATTCGGACTCGGGTCGCCTATCAGCTCAACTCATGTGAGGTCAATTCGGACTAGTATCCGGCTTGGGTCTTACACATTATCCCTTCGGTGACATCCGCATTTTGAACTTGACCAAGTTTTATCTAATACTATGAAGATTGCGATGTTCTTAGATTCAATGGGATTCCCGTAGCTGAATCCAAAAAGAGATTATCTAATGATAGTCTTCATCAACAATTGGCCCTTAACAAAAAAAGAAGACAAACAAAAGTTGTCATGGAAAAATCCAAGTTTCTAAATGATAATAGGAAGGTGTTAACAAAAAGTTGATAAGAGGAAGATTGTCTAACCATCATTTTGTGGTAATTTATGGGAAAAGAAACATAACAACTTACATTTCTGAAAATCTTTTAAATATTTATAAATTTATATTCCAAGTATACAAATTAATATATATATATATATATATGCAGTATTTAGAAGAAAATATTATATCATTAAATCCCTATAAATGTTACAGGATTGTTTTCCTATAAAAAGCCATTGGAAATTATAATGTAAGAATTATTTCTCCTAAAAATAGTCAGATAAAGGTATACACAATTACAATCAAGATTTTAGATAATAATATACATTAAGCTAAGCAAAATCTACTAATCAAAAAGCATCCTCTCCTACTCCCGCCTCTCTTTGCTTTCATTCCAATCAGATTTTATTTCTGAAGTAGCAAAGGAAGAACTATAAAAAATAAAAGATATTTTACTAAATTGTATTTGAACAAGAACATTATTGAGAATTTAATCTAATCTCCTCTAGTATTTTGTTTTAAGAGTTTATTGGTTTTAATTGAATTGTGCGAAAGAGGAGATGACTAGTTACGTTGGTGTTCTCGTCTCTGACCCATGGCTACAAAACCAATTCACACAAGTGGAATTACGCAACCTTAAATCCAAGGTCTCTCTCTCTTCATTTTATCACACATCACTTGTCGCAATTTGTAGCATTCAACATATTGACTATTCGGATTCTTTTTTTCTTAGTTTGTTTCGACAAAAACTCGTTCTGGCCGTGTTACTGTGAAAGATTTGCCCCGAGTTCTAGCAAACTTGAAAGATTTCAATTTTACTTTTGTTGAAAATGAGATCAAAACTATATTGGATGAGTCTTATCCCAATAGTCATGAGGAAGTTGAATTCGAAACCTTTCTCCGGGTGAGTTTTATCACGCTCTCTCAAATGACGTTACATGTGTTATTTTTCTTAGTCCCTTACATATTATTTTATGTGATCCTAACAAAATGTGGCTAAACGGTTTGTGACAGGCCTTTTTAAGTGTGCAATCCCGAGGAGGAGGAGGTTTGAAAGATTCTACATCGTTTCTTAAGACAAGTACAACAACATTTCACCACAGGATCAATGAGTCCGAGAAAGCTTCCTATATCTCCCATATAAATAATTATTTGAGAGAAGACCCTCTCTGGAACAGCTATATTCCAATCAATCCTGCTAGTGATGCCTTGTTTGATATTGTTAAAGATGGTGTTCTTTTGTGGTAAAGTCATAAAATATATAAATTAACAAACTTATTTTACAGAATCGAATCTTGAGTAGTTTTGATTCTGATAATTTTTGCACAGTAAGCTTATAAATGTAGCAGTGCCTGGCACGATAGATGAAAGAGCGATCAATATGAAGAAAGAGCTTAATCCATGGGAGAGAACTGAGAACATTTTACTTTGTCTCAACTCTGCAAAGGCAATTGGCTGCACCGTTGTTAACATTGGAAGTCAGGACATTGCTGAAGGAACAGTAAGTACTAATCAGTAAAAAAAAAAAAAAAAGCTTCTTCTTTCTTTTGTCTCTCTGTTTCATATTCTGTAGTCTAATTTTTACTATTTGTTTTTATAGCCGCATCTCGTGCTTGGGTTGATATTTCAGATTATAAAGGTAGTAACTCTACATTACTGTACCATAAGATGATGATGCATGGTAACTAACTTTGATTTTTTCTGTTGTGGGAACATTTAGATACAGTTGTTGTCTGGTCTCAATCTTAAGAAAACTCCAGAACTTGTTGAGTTGGTTGAAGAAAATCAGGTAAAGTCTAAAGCATTTCTAAAAGTTTAATATGTGTAATTTGAAGCTGAAACTATCCTTTTCAACTTTATTAATTTTATTGTTTTCAAGGATGTGGAGGAGCTTGTGGGACTAGCTCCTGAAAAGCTTTTGCTAAAATGGATGAATTTTCATCTTAAGAAAGCTGGTTACGAGAAACAAGTCACAAACTTCTCTTCTGATATTAAGGTACGTATTAAATTGGTCCTGCTACTACTACACTTTCTTCTTTTCATGTTTGCGATTTGTCAGTTTTTTTTATGTTTTTTTTTTCAGGATGGAGAGGCATATGCATATTTGCTAAATGCTCTTGTCCCTGAACACAGTACACATGTGGCGTTAGAGACTAAAGACCCTTCTAAGAGAGCAAAGAAAGTCCTTGAACAAGCGGAGAAGCTAGACTGTAAAAGATACATTTCTCCTGAAGATATAGTTGAAGGCTCTACAAATCTTAATCTTGCGTTTGTGGCGCAACTGTTTCAGCACAGGTCGATACAGTAAAGATTGATAGTTATTTATATAGTCTTCTACATTGCTAGTTTTGTTTATATGTATGATTTTTGTTGTAGGAATGGATTGTCTGAAGAGAGTTCGAAGACACCTGTCTCTTTTACTGAGATGATCACAGAAGATGAAGAAACTTCTCAAGAAGAAAGATGTTTTCGCCTCTGGATTAACAGTCTTGGTGCTGCTACTTACATTGACAATATTTTTGAGGATGTTAGAAACGGGTGAGTATTGCAGTTTTTATTTATTTTTTCATTTGTTCTTGAATCTAAAATCTCTTCATGACATGCCTCAGATGGGTCCTTCTTGAAGTTCTTGACAAAGTATCACCAGGCTCGGTTAACTGGAATGACGCGAATAAACCTCCGATCAAAATGCTATTCAAAAAGGTTGAGAATTGCAACCAAGTTATCAAGATTGGTAAAGAACTGCGTCTTTCGCTTGTCAATATAGCTGGTAATGATATTGTGCAAGGAAATAAGAAGCTCATTTTAGGTGAGATATCCCTCATGAAAGAACAGAATGTGTTTCATATTATGGTTTGAGTTGAGACTTATGACAATGTTTTGTATGAAGCTTTCTTGTGGCAGTTGATGAGATACACAATGCTCCAAATTCTGAAGAACTTGAAATCTCACTGGCAAGGTAAAGAAATTACAGAAACAGATATTTTAAACTGGGCAAACAGGAGAGTCAAAAAAATGGGTCGAACCACTCAAGCTATGAGCTTCAAGGTATAGAGAAAATAGTCAAATCCATAGAGGCTTAGACTATATCCATCTTACACTAAACCTGATAAATTTTTATGGTTACTTTTTCAGGACAAGAATCTGTCAAGTGGAATCTTCTTTTTGGAGCTTTTGAGTGCTGTTGAGCCAAGAGTTGTAGACTGGGGCCTTGTAACTAAAGGAGAAACAGGTAAATAATCACATGCTACTTTTAGTTGTTAGGTTCGGTTTGTAATTGGCGTTTTTTTAAGCAGAAGAGGAAAAGAAGATGAACGCAACATACATCATAAGTGTTGCTAGGAAGCTCGGATGCTCAATTTTTCTGTTGCCTGAAGATATAACAGAGGTACATGGCTTTTTTTATTCCAAAGTTGGTTTTGTTTGCGCATTTTCAGGTTAATTAATCTGGTTGCATGTTTAAAAATGATAACAGGTGGACCAGAAAATGATGCTTATATTGGCTGCTAGCATCATGAACTGGAGCCTCCAGCAACAATCCGACACTGAGTCGTGTGTCTCTGATGACGTAAGCTCTCTGACAGAAGAGATCTCCAGTTTGTCTACAGACGATGGCTCTTCAGATGCCCAAAATGACGAAGACATAAAATAAGTTTGAAATTTCCTGCTTCTCATATAGGTAACAAAAGAGATATTGTAACTTTAAATGTGTATTTGAATTTGTGGTCATGAAGAGCATATTTGTTTTTCTTAACTATTCAATTCTTATAAATGAATAATCAATTCATAGACTAAACACTGCAGGTGAAACAAATTGTCCATATTCTGAAACAAAATAGTATAACTATTATTAAGATCTACATCATATGTGTAAAGAAAGATTTGAAAAGTTCTAGGAGAAGCCGAGAAGGGGATAATTAAGCACTCTCATCTCTCATGCAAGCTCTAAAGCCTCTGCTTTAAGCCACTTCCCCCTCAGATCATCGAACAGATCATGTCCCTTGGTATGTGGTCATTTTTGAACCTGGTGCGCTTGGAACAGTGGTTCAGAGTGATGAGTCACCTGATGGGTGGATGCAATATTAATATCATTGCCCTGAATTCGTGTGTTTCAACAATGCCTCAAAATTACAAAAAAAAAACAAGTGTAAGCAGTACTCTCTTATCTTCAAACCGTACTTGCACCATTCAAATAAAAAGCTAAACCACTAACCTCAACCTCAATGTAATGCTTCAACCGTCCACGACTAATAGTCACCTACGCATGTTCTTCCGGTCCATGGATTTCATCCCGTGTGAGGAATGGTGCGTTAATTTTTTGGAAGCTTTAGTCATGGACTAGTAAGATTGCGAATCATTTCTCGATAGGTCATCCATCATTTGACTACTTCAACTTAAGCATGTTTAACTCACACCTGAAAAAGTAAGTACTTTGGTGATATAGGTAGCCAAATGAATTATCTTAAGTCTTTCCATATACCACAAACCGAGATGTTATAATTCACCTCCTCTAAAAATGGCAATGTCCTTGTTGTACCTCTAATGGGCCATCCACGGTTGCTCTTTCGGTCCATGGGCCTCATTCTGTATGACGGACGATGCGTTAGTTTTTTTGAGGTCATTGGTCATGTTTGCTGATCATGTAGTCACCGGATGATTTTTTCGTGTACTTTGGCCACAATCGCACGATATTACGAATTATTAGTACATCAATCCTTTAAATACTTCCGCTCAAACACGTTTAACTCTGGAGTTTTCGCTAAATATGTTCTTAAAAAGGTAAATGCACTTTGCTGATATAGATAATCAAATCAAATTTTTAACCTTTTTATATCACAAACAAATCGAGATGTTACACTCATATCCATACAGCGGAAACGTAATAGAACTATACATCAAAACAAGCTTCATGCATGAAACTATTGCCCTAGAGACACTATATATGTTTTGACTCACACGATTAACCGTGAACAAACTTCAATATATAAAATCTTTTTGTACCACTGACCTATCCCGCTTCAATTACCGTAACTTTCGTGTAGTAACATCTGTACGATTGACATATCCTCTTTGACCGTTGAATGCACTAAAGTTAGCCATCAAATCATACATATTTGAGTATTTGACAAACATGCCAATGACGGATTCTGAAGGCATGGCAGTTTTCAAAATGATTTTGGTTTTTAGTTGGCGATTTTAAGCAGAAGAGGAAAAGAAGTTGAACGTGACATACATCATACGTGATGCAAGGAAGCTCGGATTCTCAAGTTTTCTGCTGCCTGAATATATAACAGAGGAACATAGCTTTTCATATTCCAAAGTTGGTTATGTTTGCGCATTTTCATGTTAATTAATTTGGTTGCATGTTTAAAAAATGATAACTTGTTTTACATCTTCATCATTTGAAGAAGTTTAAAAAAAAGTTTGATTGTGTTGCTTATCATATAGGTAACAAAAGAGAAAACAAAAACAAAAGTGAATGTAGCTCTTTAAATGGGTATTTGATTTTGTGGAAAGACATTGTCCTTTAAAGATTTTTAGTCATGAATAGTCATGTTTGTTTTTTCTAAATACTATTAAAATCTTATAAATGAGAAATAAGTTCATAGACTAAACAATGCAAATGAAGCAAATGGTGCATAAACTCAAACAAGATAATAAAACTAAGAAAATTTGGAAAAATGAAACGAAAATTAACTATCATCGTTTTAATAGGATAAAACTTTTTTTGTTTCATTTTTCCTTAATATTCCTTATTTCATATCCTTCATCGAAAATAATAAAATGATTAACTATTCCTTGACTGTTTTGATCTTATGTCCATTTGGCTTCTTTGCATACATCTTGGTTTTTTCTTCAATGTTCTTTTGTACCTATTCGTGCAAAGATTTGACTTGTTCAGTTTCCATTTTGCCATTAACGTTAGTTTTCTCTTTCAGAGTAACAAAATCAAGTCTAATGATAACAAGAATTGAAACCATAAACAACATAAAACGGATCAACTTGGTAATTGAATGCACATAATGATGATAAGCAAATTCTACATATGATAAAAATCGTTCCAAGCTATGATGTTTCTTTTTTTTTTTTGAACTAATTCTTGCATTCAAATAAAAATGTGCAAAAGTAGCAAAAGTGAAATAACCCAAAAGAAACGCATAAGAACCTATTAGCCTTGATTAAAGTAACTAGATCATGGTAGTGGCTCATTAGATAAGCCCAAGATAGTAAACCAGAAGCCCAGTTCGAGAATGTCTAATTACGATGAAATCAAAGCGAAGGAGAAGCCCTAGTTATGCTGGAACGAGAAAGAAGAGAGTCCGTGATCAATCAAAAAGAGAGAATCAAAGCTGGATCAAATCACTTGCTACGGGGTTATTTTGATGTTTATTTTTACAAGGGCACGTAAAGTATACAAGGTCCTATCTAGTACCTAAGTATTTCCATAAGTATATGGGTGACAAGTAGCCGAAAAGAGTAATTTTGGTACCTAGCTTTTCCCACAAAATTCTTCGAAATGGCTTAAAGAACTTAGGGGAGTGTATTCAACTAACAATTTTAGGTGATTTCTATCAAAATGACAAATTCAACTATTATTCAAACATGAATTTTAAAATCTTAACTAAATTTTTGATCCGCGCTTTTACTATTTTTGTTGTTTTATCTACGGATAGATCAATAAGTATTTTTTTTTGATAATAAAATATCACAGAATCAAGATCAAATTATTATGCGGGTATAAAAATTTTATTTTATAATATCTCAGATAATTTTTTATGTTTCTAAATAAGTTAACAATGGTTGTACGTGAAATGTGTACTTGAGAAAGATTGTATATTTAACAATTAAATGGTCTAATTTTTTTTAAAAATTTTGTGAATAATTCGTAAAATCATTTAGTTACAAAATTTCAATCGCTCATTCCGACCCGCCCTGTCCAACCTGCTCCATAGCAGGTTAAGTCATTTTTTCGACTGAAAAATTTGATCCGCCTAACCCGCAAAGAAAATATATTTTTGCAAGAATTTTTTTTATAAAAATTGAAAGAGAATCAGCCCATTAGTGAATCCATTAGTATATAGTTTTTAGGTCCAAATAGAAAAGACTAAAATGCCATTAATAAAAAACTAAATTTGTTCAAAAGATTAAGGGTAATTTAGAAAAACATAAAGCATCCGCTAAAATCTTGTTTTAATGGTATTGATTAAAATTCATTATTATTGAACTTGACATTTCATAAAGTATTTTGAAATCCATTGTTATTGAACTTTTTTAAATTGTGGTGTTTTAAAATTTTCAAGTTTCTTAGTTAAAATTTAAGAAAATTAAAACTCAGATCTCATAATTTTAGGTAATATTTTAGAGTAATTTAACAAGAATCACTTCAAATTTTAAATTCAATACCACCATCCCCCCCCCCCTCTTAGTAGGGCTGGGCAGAAAACCCAGATCCAAAGAACCGAACCGAATCCGATCCAAAAAGTAGTATCGAACCCGAACCGAAATTGATGCATTATCCGAATGGGTTCAAAATTTTGGTATTTAAAAAACCGAAACAGAACTCAACCCGAACCAAAGTATTTCGGGTACCCGAATATATCCGAAAGAGATTTATATACCTATATGTATATATTAATTTTTTAGATTTAATGTATATAAAAAACATTCAATATATATATATATAATACTTTACACTTGTTCAAAATACTTGTAAATATATGTAAATAGTCAAACATATATGTCTAAAATTGCTAATGTACACTCAAAACATCAAAAATACTTCAAAAAATTATTGATTCACAATCTAAATATTCAAATCAAAATAATTTATATTTTAGGTATTTTGACTTATGTTATTCAATATTTGTAATATATTATTTTGTTTATAGATTTTTAGAAATTTAAAATACATAATTAATTTAAAAATTTTTAAAATAATTTTAATGGGTTATCCGAACCCGTAAAGATCCAAACCGAACCCGAATCGAAATTTAGAAATATCTGAATGGGACTAAAATTTATGAACCCGAAATCCGAATAGATCCGAACCGAATCTGAATGGATACCCCAACGCCCACCCCTACGTATTAGTATGTTTATCTGAAACTATGGATCTAGGTAATCTATGCAACCTAACAACCTTTCCAATGGTGTAATTAAATATCACATTAAACAATAAAGTTACGTGTTAAGTAAAATTTTCTTGTTTTCCGTCAAAGGCCTAATTAAATATCATAGTATTAAATAATCATGCCAACCATATAAAATACAAATGATTTTATTTAGTGAACATGCGTGTGCGTATACAAGTTAAAACAAACTCCCACAAAAGTCTTGAAGTTCTCTCTCTCTCTCTTACAAAGAAGAAGGATAAAACAATTATCAAGACGATGATGAAGACGAAGAGAAATGAAGGAAAACTGCTATGTACGTACACACAGAGACCACTATATTCATACATCGTTACCGTTAAAGAACTCGAGGAGATGCATTAGAGAGGCTATTCGGTGTTTCGCCGGAAGGATAAAAAGTTTGCATGAGTCGTCGGCGTACATGGGAAAGCCAGGCATTTATTTATTTATAGTTTCTCTCTTTTTAATCTTCAATATGTATTATCTCAATTAACAAGGTCAAATATTTCAGATTTTATCA